GAATCGCTCGTAGGTGTGGATCGCATTCCTGTTGCCGATGCTGCTCGACGGCACATGGGGGCGAGGGAGGGGTAGCAAGGGAGGCTGAGGGCCCAACACAGCGAGAACCGTCAGATTTTCAGGTGTAGCCTGAAGTCCGTCGCGACGCACTCAATCCCTCCCGAGCGAAAGCCTGTGGCTCTCTCGAACTCGTCGATATATTGCGAATAAACTGCTCTTCCCGCATAGCTTGCAGAGTCAGAGGCGCCGAAAGGCTACGAGTGTTCGACGAGTCTTGCGAGCTGCGCGGTCAAACCTGGGGGGGACTGACCGCATCAAGGCGGACTTCCGAAACCTGGGTGAGCACCTCTGGCAGTTCTCGCTCCCCATCGAGCTCTTCTTGCCGCACGGCTCTTCTGTGTGCCGGCACAGAGCTCCGTGCAAGCCTTCCAGCGTGATAGGAACGAGTGTATCGCTTTGACGGATCGACCGTGCTTGTTATCCACATCGATGTGACGCACACAGTGACACTTCAGACGACACACATTCTCCCACCCGCCGGGACGCAAAACGCTCTCGACGAGAGCCACAAGAAGGCGGCCACACAGCAAGCCGCTCGGTCGATCACGTTGCTCGCTCGATGCCGGCGAGCGCATGGCGCACGCCTTGGACGGTGGCGAAGCCAAAAACACCGGCAGTGGCCGTCCGCTGGCGTGAGCGGCGGCGGTCGAGACCTCACCCTTCGCGCCGACGACCCAACCTCACGCGGAACAACCCAACCCACCCCAACAACCCAACCCAACCCAAAAAGCACGATTCTCAAGTTGGGCCCTCAGGCTGCAAGGGAGGCGGCGGCGGCGGAACGGGTGAGAGTGGAGGGGGAGGAGGAGGTGTCGAGGGAGGTGGTGAAGGGGGAGGCGGCGATGGAGGAGGAGGCGGCGACGGAGTAGGCCGGGTCTCTTTTCTTCTTTATGCCCGGCCGATAAAATTCTTTACGCAAATACGATCGACAAGAAGCTGCTCGGCCGACGCAACGATGCTGGCGGGGACTCTGCTCGCGCTGGCGATCTCCGTCCGCCGCGCCTCAACGCTGACGGAGGAGTTTCGGTGCGCCCGTCTCGTCGCCGACTGCTTCGGCGGCTGGCCTTTCGCGCGGCTCGCGTCACTGCGCGCGCCGGGCCTCGAGGCGAACGTCTTCTTCCGGCCGATCGGCCCGCCCGCCGTCGCCGCTGCACTTGACAGCGACGGCGGCCTCTGCGGCACCGCTCAGCTCATGAAGGTCGAGCTTTCCCGCGCCACAGGGGCGGAGAGCGCCGGCCGCGTGGTCGCCTTCACGCAGAGCGTGAGCGTGGCGGCGGCGGCAAGGCGGCGCGGTGTCGGCCGCGCGCTGGTCGCCTTCTGCGAGGAGGAGGCGCGGGAGGCGTGGGCGGCTGACGGCGTCGACGAGGCCTGGCTCGCGGTGGCGACGGAGAAGGAAGCTGCGCGGGCGCTGTACGACAGCTTGGGGTACCAGAGCTGCGGCGAGGCGCGCGGCAACTTGCTGCTCCGCAAGCGCCTCGCCACGGGCGCAGCCAGCGCGGGCGAGGGCTCGCAAGGCATCGCCGAGTACTCGGACCCGTTTCTGCACTAGTCTCTGTAGGCGCAGCCAGCGGACGAGGCTCGCGCATCGTCGCGTGCGAGGCTGTCGATGCCGCCGCCGACGCTTCCGCCGCCGACCGCCGCACGCCTCTGAGCGGTGGCGTCGGCTGGTCGCCGCTGCTGTCCAACTTGGGCGTGCAGGTGCTCTACTCGGCGGTGCCATAGGTGGTGCGTACTCCCGGAGAAGCCAGCGTAATCTCGCGTAATCTCGGGTACTCAGGCGCTGTACTCGGCGGTGCCTCTACTGGGTGTGAGCCTGCTGCTCGCTCCGTTCGGAGGCCCGTCCAGCGCCTCGCTCCTCGGGCTGTCGGCGCCGTGGGAGGCGTACGACGGCGCGCTCTCGCCCGCTCCCCGCCGGGGGCGCATCTCCGGGACACGTCACACGTCCATGACATGCCTGCGACATGTCCGACAGGCTGCCTCTCGCCCCTCCCTGCCGCATGGTGGGGTGCGCCACTGGTGGAGGCCGGGGTCGGCGGCGGTGTTGCCCTGGCGGAGCTCGCGCGACAGGGAGTCCTCCCGTCTCTCCTCGCTCCCACGGCGGGCGACCCACAGATGCCGCACCAGCCGCAGCCGCAGTCTCCACCGCAGCCGCAGCCGCAGCCGCAGCAGCGGCAGCCGCAGCAGCGGCAGCTCGACTACACGCCTGCGCAGGCTGAGCAGATGCGGCCGCTCTACGAGGTCTCCGCCGCCGAGCCGTCGTTCCCGCGCGCCGCGACGGCGATCGTGGCGTGGCAGCTCGCCGTCGCCTTGGCAGAGGAGCTGTACTACCGCGGCTTCGTCGAGTCTGCGGGCGTGCTCGCCATCAGCTACCCGCTCCGCGCTGCCGGGGTGGACATCGCCGCGGCGGGCGCGCTGCCGCTCGTCGAGGGCTTGCCGTTGCTCGTGAGCGCCGCGCTGTTTGGGCTGGTGCACGCGGAGTTTGTCGAGGGCGCCGCCGCCGCAGCCCACGCCGATGACGCGGCGGGGGCGGGGGCGGCGGGGGCGGCGGGGGCGGTGGAGGCGGTGGAGGCTGAGGCGGTGGAGGCGGTGGAGGCGGTGGAGGCTGAGGCGGCGGGGGCGGCCGACGCGGCGCCTGCTCCGCCGATCTCCGCCAGCGGCGTGCGAGACACAAAGGCGTTCTGGTTCCGCGCCACCGCCGCGTACGGCGCGCTGTACTCTTCGCTGTACGTGCTGAGTGGCCACCGGCTGCTCGCGCCGGTTTGCGCGCACGCCGGCCTCAACATTGGCCTCTGTCTGCGCGATTGGGGCCGCATGCGCCGCACGCCGCCCGCGCTCCTGCGGCGCGTCTTTTCGGCCCGTGAAGGAACCTCCTCGGGGCAGGGGGTGGAGGCGGCGGAGAGATGAGCGGGTTGAGACGTCCAAATTGCGCTCTTATTAATAGGGGGAAAAATCAGATCGAGATCCCCGATGCCCGAACCGCCTCGAAAAAGCGAGTCAAACACCGCGCAAAAAGCACGACCATACGGCTTTAAATATAACTTCTCGCAGCTGCGAGACGTTCTCTGGTAGGACGGGAACGAGATGATAGTAGGGAGTAGAAGAAAGCAAAGAGGAGCCCTGCGCACGCACGACTCCGCAGGAGAAACCCCTCCCCAGACAAAACACAAGGGAGAGGTGGGTGGGTCACAGAAAACTGCGGCCGCCAGCGACTGAGCGTCTCGCTGGCGGACGGGGAGAGGAACACAAAGGGACGTCCGGACGTCCATCCACTGGGATGAGAATACTGGAGATCTGAGGTCGAATCTGCCGATTCCACAGCCGCCCACAGGAGCGCCGCCTCAACACGGGGTCTCGGCTCTATCGAGCCATGCTAGCTCCAGCCGCAGCCCCACCCGGCCGCCCGAGGGTGTTCCCGCAGGCAGAGAAGACCAATCCTGGGGGAAGTAACCTTCTCTGGTAGGACGGGAACGAGATGATAGTAGGGAGTAGAAGAAAGCAAAGAGGAGCCCTGCGCACGCACGACTCCGCAGGAGAAACCCCTCCCGCCCGTGCTTGCGCAGCGCAGCCTCCTCCTCCCTACGCGCAAGCTGGTCATGAGGATGATGGCGATTATGTCATGGCGTTGACGAAAGCGATGGAGATGCGTTCCGCGTGTTGTGACACAAATGAGAGGCGGGAGTGGGAGGGCCCAACTTCAGAATCGTGCTTTTTGGGTTGGGTGTAGACAGAGTGCGCCGTCGTGAGCGGGTGTAGGACCGGCTCGGGGGGCGGCGCCGCCCTCGCCGAGGTCATGCTCGGTTGGATCGGCAGCAAGCCGATGGGAATGGCATACGCGAAGGCTCGCAAAACGGGCGGCGGGTGGGCGGGCAGCAGCGAAGTGGGGGGCGAGAGCGGCGACGTGGGCGAGAGCGGCGACGACGGGTCCGGCACGCTGAGGATCAGCGGCCTCACGTGCAGCGGCGTCTGCGCGGTTTGCATCGGCGGCGGCGGCGCAGCAGCCGAGCGTGGAACGGTCGGGCCCGACGGACGGACGGCGGTGAGGAGAGAGGTGGCGCGCGAGAAGCCGGAGGTCTTCGCCGAGCACACGTGGCCCAGCTTGGGCTGCCCACATGCGGCGCAGCGGTTCTTGGCGAGGCCGAGGCGTCGCGCTTGCTGCCCGAGCTCGATTCTGAGGTAGCGGTTGCGAACGGAAGCCGGGCTGCGGTTGGTGAGGCCGTCGGCGATGCGGCCCCATTTACGACCCTGCGGAATTGGGAGATGCAGGGGGTGAGAGACGGCGCGGGGCGGGATCTTCAAATACTTGGGCGAGAGTGATGGCGTTTCGACGGCGGCCGCGCCTGCTTGAACGGGACGACGGCATACTGACACATTCCGTTCTGGTGCCCCTCGGCTGGCCAGAGGACGACTCACAATGCAAAATCGGAAAGACATCACGAGGGGCCGTATAAACGGTGCCGCAGCGGCCCGGGACACTAACAATGAGTTGCCGCCACTCGCCCGGCCTCCTAACCCTCGGGGTCGCCCGGAAAGTGGGCTTGCGCACCGGCGACCCCCCCAGCACGCCGACCCGAGGTGTACCCTCCGGCCACCTGGGAGGGGCGCTCACTCCATGTTTGGCCCATTGGCTTCACCATGATGGATACGGAGATGGCCAGCCCTTGGTTGTGCACCTGCGGCGCGAAGAGGAGGTGATCTCGGCGGACGACGGCCATGCCGAGAGCGGGCGCAGCGCGGAAGAGGCAAGAGGGTGCGCAGCGCGTCGCGGCCGCGCGCTTGGGAGCCGGGGGGATGGCCGGAGGGGGCGGGACGCCTGCATGTCCTCGAAGCCCCCAACCGCATACGCAAGCCGAGCCGCGAACGGCGGCGAGAGAGTTTGGCAGGGTCAGGCGAGGACCGCGCATGGCCAAGGAACCTTTTTTAGGACCCCCAGCGCGGCAATCCGGCAAGAACGGGCGTGCGTCTCCCATCGTGTCTCCCCTTCCGCCGACCCCTATCACACTGTGATCTGTGTGATATCACACAGATCACACAGATTGTGTTCTCGCTTAGCAGAAGTTTACGGCCGTTGTTTTCATTTTCGATTACACCCGCTTCGAGCAAAACATCAGAAAGCCCGTGTGGCCAGGCATGTCTCCGAAGGGGCGCGTCACCAGCCGCGCCGGCTGCCATCCCTCGGCCTTGCCTCCGCCCGACGGTCCGCTGCACGGGGCAGCAAGCGCGGTCGGCGCTCCGCCATCCGGCTCGCCCGCCGCCGCAGCAGCCACCCGCCCGGCCGGCCCCTCTGTGCGCCGACGCTTGTTGGCCGACGCCCGCGCCCCCGCCCCCGCCCCCGCCCCCGCCCCCGCGCCCTCGCCGGCGCCCTCGCCCTCGCCGGCGCCCTCAGCTGCGTCTGCGTCCGCGTCCGCGCCCTCCGCCGCGGCCGCCGCCGAGAGCCTGGCCGCGCGAGCAGTGGCGGCCGCCTCCGCGATGGCGTCGGTGCGGGGAGCGGCGCGCACCTGGTGAGGTCCTGGTGAGGTGGGCGGAGGTACGGCCAGCTCTGCGCGCGCTGAGCGCGGGGCAAGGCCGTGGGCACGCGCTCGCATCTGCACGCCTCGAGAGGGGGCAGGAGGCCGGGCGCATGGACAGTGTTCGGCCCGGTGGCGCGTGGGTGAGCAGTCGAGTGTGCGTGTGTGCGTGTGTGTGAGTGAGTGTGTGTGTGTGTGTGTGTGTGTGTGTGTGTGTGTGTGTGCGCGTGTGAGCGTGTGCGTGCGTGCGCGCGTGTGTGTGTGTGTGTGCGCGTGTGTGCGTGTGCGTGTCTG